CTGCATATAAGAATGATAACAAGACATTGATAAACTAAACTAAGCTACAAAGCTTTGTTATCCCACTGGTAAAAACAATATATAGTATGACGTATATTATCATCGCAAAACATACAATACATCCACCAGTTACTGTTGTTCAGATGATCCAAACCCAAAATTTGGAGTTTCTAAAATTGCACTTTCTTAATCTAATCCGTATTACCGGTTGCATGACAGAAATATTTTGTTGAAATTCAAATCCTAAATACTGAACACCCCCCCCCCCCCCCCCCCCCCCCAGAAAAGAAAAAGACAGAAAAAGTAGGAACAATCTTCATAAGAATGAAACAGGTTTTTTTTTTTCTCTCTCCTAAAAAAATGTTGCTTTTTGGGTTTAGAACATTTAGATAGCTTGCTGACAATACAAGTTATATAGTATATATATATATATATATATATATATATACAGCTACATTAGATTCACCACGGACACAGTATGCTCTTTGTCTCTGTACAGTTGTGAACCCTTACGGAGAACTTCCAAAGACTGCTTCACTAAAGGCCAAGTTCACCACAAACTGAGGTTCACCACATCTATATTCTCTACGAGGTTTACTTTACTAAACGTAGTTAACAAATGCTCATTATAATTGAGGTTCACCTAAAGAGAAGTAAAGTAGACTTTAAAAAATGCTCAATGCAATTGAGGATCACTACATCCACTGTCCACCACAACCAAAGTTTCCCACTTAAACAAATGCTACAGGAGCTCTCTACAATTGACGTTCATTTGAACAGAAAGTTCACTTTAAATAATGCTCACCACTACAATGGAGGTTCACTTAAACAGAAGTTCACTTTAACGAATGCTCACTACAATTGAGGTTCACTACATCCACTGTCCACTACAATCAAAGATTCCCACCAAGAGTTTTTAACCGTAAAAAAAGGAAATCGTCCAGTATTTCAGACAAACAAGTTTCATGGATGGCTCAAGGCAAGGACCAGAAGCACAGTCATCGTAATCCGCATCTCTCCGGTCTTGTTTAAGAACTGTTCTCTTTAGTAGATGTAATGGACATGGTCAGACAGTGACTCTCTCTCTTGCCCTTTTTAACTCCCAGTGGAGCACAGGCCATCAACAACATTTCTCCAGCGAAGCCTGTCCTGTGCACCCTTTCCTAGCTGTTTCCATGATGTCCCCGCCTTTTCCATTTCCAGACACTGACTGATGAACTATTACTATCATTAATATAATCATTATCATTATCATCATCATTACTATCATTATACAAAATCATGATCGAATGAACAGTGACTGCGACTATACAATTTCATATGGCAAAAGTCTCAATATCACAATTTAGAGCACCAAAGTGCAAAAAAGAAAAAGAAAAAAAAAGTCTTTCTCAACTAAAACCTCACACTCCACCTGGACACATACTTTCCCAGATACCTGGACCTTCCCCCTCTCACATGATGAAACATTTTAACCATTTCAGTTTTGAGAACATTGTTCACATCACACACAATCAGCATCTCTAACAAATGTCAATCGAACAAAAAACATGTACCACAAATTAAATAATAAAAAAGGTAACAAAAATTGGCAGAACAGAAACATGACAATGATATGTGAAAACATTATGTGGATCTTACTAAGGAACAAATTCAATCCTTTCCCTGCAAACCCTCACAACAGGAACAGTAATGAAAAAAAACAAAAAAACAAACCACAACACAAAAACAAAATGATTTCTTATGCTTCATGCACACAAGTTTTTCCAAGGAAACCGTTAAAAAACCCAGTAGTAAGTTTGCAAAAGAACTCGCTTGGCTTGATTCCGTATTCTAAGACAGGGATGCCCAATGATTTTGGAAAAAAAACAACCTGAAAAAGAACGGAGCATCACACCTCATCTAAAACGAACCTTGTAAAATCTTTAAATGAGCAAACAAAAACATTTCTCTTACCATTCCCCTTTCCTTTGCAAGTGTAGGAAAAAAATGGAAAAAGCCGGAAAAACCGGAGATTTGGCCACCCTGCTTAGAGTATATTTTTCTCGAGGATTAGCGCACCTCTAGTACGCCTTGCACCGTAATCATCTGCTGTTCGTAACAGAATGGTGCCCACTAACGCTGCCATGTAAAACACTGGTAGGGGCTCTCATGGCCTAGAGGTTAAGGTGTTCGCCTCTCATTCAAAAGTCCCTGATTCGAATCCGGGTAGCGCCGGAAAAAATTTTCTTCTCTAAAATTGTCTCCTTTCACCTCCTTTCCTACTCTCTAGCAACGTTCTGTCGTCTGCTTTCGTCTCCACTTTCAGCCCTTACCCTCCTTTGCCCCCTTCTCTGGGCTCCAAACTCTTTCTGAAGCCTTTCTACTGCTACTCCTTGGTTCCTTATTGCTGTCTTTCAGCCACACCCGTGATCTTCTGGTAGGAAAGATCTACACATAGCCTTCTAGGATAAGTGCGAAAAATCTCGGAGTTCCCGTGTGCAAGTGGTGGCCTAAAATCGATAATAGTAAGCTTCGGCTGCCACCGAGCAAAATTCAAAATTTCCTTCCAACTGAAAATGTTTGGTGTGCCCCCCGCGCTCATGCAGTTGCGAGCGTCGTAAAACACTTACCAATAAAAAAAACAACTAAAAAAACACTCTTACTTAAAAGCCACCAGTCAAAAACAGTGAGGTACGGGGAACAGCCCTTCATCATCCCACAAAGAAAACAAACAGCCCTGTCCGTGCAGACAAACATTAGAGATCTGATCTTATTTCTATTTCATTTAGCAGATTTGCAACAAATTTGTCCTAACCTGGCTGCCCAAAAAATTGTTCGCTTTGTGGTGGTTCAGAAAACTGTCCCCGCGGTTTTATGCACCCCGCATAATTTAGCAAAATTTGATCTTTTTTTGCATAATTTCTGATTATTTTCTTTTATCATTCTATGTTTAAAAAAAACAACAGAATTGCATAATTTAAAATTTTTGGGCTCAGTTTGCATAATTTCAGAATTTTTTTGTGCATAAAACGACGGGGACAGAGAAAAACTTTTAGCTCAAATCCAGTTCTGCAAAAATCATTCCCTCAAATCCAGTTCTGCAAAAACTATTTGCTCAAATCCAGTTCTGCAAAAACTATTCCCTCGAATAAGGTTCAGCAAAAATTATTGGCTCAAATACACTTCTGCAAAAACTCACTCAAATACGGTTCTACACCAGCACCAAGCCCCTAAACAGTACGTCACATTTTCCTACGTTTGTCCGTGCACACCGACGTATGATGAGCAGATCAACGCAATTTTTTGTTCACAATTTTAAAAATCCCTACAAAACAACCCCACTCCACACGATAGGCACTGTTCAGTATAGCATTTGTCAACTTTGTCAGATTTAAATGTGAAAGGACATACAAAATGCATAGACATACATTTACATACCATTGTTCAAGACGAAGAATTATTTTCTAGTTCGTGTACATACACACACGTATGTAAATGAACAAACACACACACACACACACACAAATACAGACAAAATATAGAAACATTCCACAAATCTCCATTTGCATGTTCCGGTACATCTCCGTTCCATGCATGAGTTATGACACATTTCCACTGGCACCAGGAGCACATAACATACGTACACAGAACGTAGAAATCTATTCCACAATGTCTGCAAATAGGTGAGGAGTGCTGACAAAATGAGTTACTTCTTGGGATTTTTAGCCCGATGGAAATTGATACATCAACTTTATAGGTGGAGTTTGTACAATTTGTAAGTACGGAGTAATAAAAGAAATGGTAGACTTAAAGAAAACGGCATATATTGAGAATCTATAAATCTGACCCCAGTGTCGATATCCGCCGATATCTCCATTCTTGCACTGCGAAAAGTAACTCATTTTGTCAGCATGCCTCACATAATATACTCTGTTTGGTGACCTCACCTATATAGATAGTCTCACATGGCAAAAGTCTCAATATCACATTTTATAGCACCATGGTGCAAAAAATCATGTCGACTAAAACCCTGCAGTCTCTGGACCACATCTTGCCCCCAAAACTACAAAACCTTCTCTTTCACATAGCCGATCATAGCTGCCAACTTTTCAAGCCCCCCCCCCCCCCCCCCCCAAAAAAAAACCAAGACTCTACCCATGAGATGGATCAACGAAACGGTGGTCATAGGCCAGGTAACCCCCGTTCAAACCTTTCACTTACTTTTTTCTCCATCCAATAAATCTATACTCAATACGCGGGCAGTATTGCATACAGATGTATCTCAAAGGCCGCCAAAAATGACTTCCGTCAGTATGCAATACTGCTCGTGAATTGTTAACCTCAATAAGGGTCACAACTACAATAAACCTATGGGCTTCATTCACTTTATTCTTCGTAAATCCAGTCTTGAAAGCTCATAATTTTTCTATTGCATCAAAAGTGAGTGAGGAATTCAAGTTTGAATAACGAGAAGCAAACTGACACAATAATGGTCATTTCGCCTGAGACTAAAAAGACGAAAAAATCAGAGAATATGAATTTTCCAAAATATAAAGAGATTTCCGTACCCACGCTTGAAAAGCCTTTTTATTAACTGCTGTATGTTTTTGAATGTACTGGTTGGCAGCTATGCTAGCACAATCCAAAATTCAGGAAGTAGATCGACCCTGATACCTCCAAATCCCGAAACAGACGTCCAGAAGTGAGAGCGGGAGAGGGGAGGAGAATGAAGAGATGAGGGACGGCAAATGACCACTTTTTACTATTGTCACTGTGGTGGTTGTTGCAGTGTGTGTGTGTGTGTGTGTGTGTGTGTGTGTGTGTGTGTGTGTGTGTGTGTGTGTGTGTGTGTGTGTGTGTGTGTGTGAGTGTGTGTGTGTGTGTGTGTGTATGTGTGTGTGTGTATGTGAGTGTGTTGGAGGGGACGGGGGTGGGTGGGGTTGGATTAGGGTGTATGTGTGTGTGGTGGTGTGACTTTGTGTGTGAGCGTGTATGTGTGTGTATGTGGGGTGGGGTAGGGGGAGGAGATTAGGTGTGATGGTGGCGGTGGTGGCTCTCCGCTGCATTGTTGCTGCTGTTGTTGTCGCTGTTGGTTGTGGTACTGTTGTCTCCGCCGCATTGTTGTTGTTGCTGTTGTTGTTGTTGCTGGTCACTCCCTCCTCCCCGGACCGGTCAAGTCGCAGAGCCCGACAGACCGCACGCTCAGACCATCTCCACCTCTTCCATCTGCCCCTTCTCCATGGCGGCCGCCTCCACAACGCTGTCAGAACGCAGTGTGGCCGCCTTGTCGCTGAGGGGTGCTGCACGGGGCTGGCTCTCATACAACCTGGTGGAAGACACACGACACGCAAAAAACAGAGACCATTAGAGATAGGGGTTTTATTTGGTTTTAGTAGAGGTTTTACGGCACTTGCAACTGTATAATGTCATATAAGTGCCAAAGATTAGAGGTGTTACAAGAGAGTAACAAACATAAAAAAGGAGCTGAGGTAAGGACGATAGATGTTTGATAGGAAAGAAGAAGCAAACCTCACCAGAGCACCCGCCAACCATCCACGTTTGAGTAAAGAGAAACAATGGGCTTTGAGCAGGAGTAAAGAGAAGCACATTGACCAAATAATGGTCATAGAAAGAAAGGAAAAAGGAACACAGACAGAAACAAAACGGGAAAGAAAAGAAGTAGGTCCAATCAGAGGCGCCCTTCAACCACTCACTCAACATAATACACCTTCCCAAAGGGGCCAGAAATGTAGAGAGGGATTCAAAGATTTTAAGAACAGGGAGGAAGGGGGTGGGTGGGTGGGGGAGTACTCAAATAATCAAATACGAAATAATGACTTGCATAGAAAAAAGACTTAAAAAATACACTCACCCCCACGAAAAAAAGAAGAAAAAAAAGAAGAAAAGTAAGACAAAAACCTTTTTAAAAAATACAATAAAAAACTTTTTAAAAAGAACTACAGAATAGAAAACCGAAATACGACACAAAAATAGTTTTTTAAAAACCCTTTAAAATACAAAAACTACAATGCAAAAAGGAATTTATAAAAGGAACTAAAGAATACAAAAATGATCTGAAATACTGTAAGAAAGTCAAAGCCACAGATCTATATGACCTCTGCTAGTCCTCTAAGTAGTTAATCATGCAAGTTGAAGAAACAGCATGTTATTTCATTCCTTCTGAAACTTGGACAAATGAAATGTGAGCCATCGTGGTGAAATCAGGCACTCGTCAAAATAATGAAATCGAAGAATCAGCGCGCAGCATTTTTCTGCTGGTTTGGCAATTTTCATCAAATTTTTTGTTTTGTTTTCATCTCAACAGCTTTTATGTTTATTTAAAAACACATGTACATGTTGATTTTACTGAAAAACGTTGACTGGAAGCAGAAAACGTAACTTTCCAGTTTTCAACGACTTTCAAGCTTTGGAAATCACAAACCGTTGACAGCCATTTTCTCATTAATTTTACCTCGGACACCCTGCGACTCCCACCTCCTTCAATAATAAATATCTCGACTTCTATTCAAGATGATGGGCATTTTTCCTTCAAAAGATGGACAACTGAACAAGCTTTAAGGTGATACTAATAACTCAACATGCCCAAAAATTGACGAGCGCCTGATTCCACCACGTTGTGACACAAATGTTAAGCTGAGCCAAAAGGAGAAGTAGGTTACACGGAGTCGGAACAAAAGGCAAAGACTGGGCTAGGAACACACCAGGATAAACCTAACCATCACACGGAAACAGAACATGCAGAGAACAATAACAGAGCAGCCACCAACCACTAGCTCTAGGAGCACAATAAGGTCATATAAGTGCCGAAGAATAGAGGTGTTACAAGAGAGTAACATACACAAAAAAAGGAGGGAAAAAAAGGACGATAGATGTTTGATAAGAAAGAAGGAGCAAACCACACCAGAGCACCTGCCAACCACCAACAAGCAATATTTTATAAACTTGCACTAGTAAATAAATGATGGGAATCATTTCGTTAGCGATTTTATTTTATTTTATTTTATTTGGGGGGGGTGAGGGCTGGCGAATGTCATTTTCAGCTTTAGGAAAGAGAAGCAATTTGATACAACAACGGTTGATTCTATGAATTTTTCAGTGCTGAGACTGAGCAAGACTGAGAGTTTAGTTTTAGTTTTAGAGAGATTTTTACGACACTTGCAAAACAATAAGGTTATATAAGTGCCGAAGAATAGATTTATGTGTTACAAGCGAGTCCAGTAACATACACAAAAAAGAAGGAAGGAGATAAGGACGACAGATGTTTGATAGGAAAGAAGGAGCAAACCACACTAGAGCACCCACCAACCACCCACATGACTCGTGAATGATAATAAAAGCAGCAGCAGCAGCAAGAACAATGACAACAACAGCAACAACAACGACAATAGCAACGGCAACAACAATAACAATAACTACTTCAACAACAATAACAACAACAACAATAACAACAACTACAACAACAACAACAACAACAACAGTAACAACAACTACTATTACAACAGCGACTACAACAACAACAACAACAACAACAACAACAACAGTAACAACAACTACCATTACAACAGCGACTACAACAACAAGAAGTGCAACAGAGACAAAAGCGCAATTGGTGGTGACTTCTGAAAAAAAAAAATCAGCAGTAACAGTAGCAGTTAGTTTAGTTTAGTTTGGTTTAGTAAAGAGTTTTACGGCACTTGCAACACAATAAGGTCATATAAGTGCCGAAGATTAGAAGTGTTACAAGAGAGTAACAAACACAAAAAAGAAGGAGGAGAGATAAGGACGATAGATGTTTAAGAGGAAAGAAGGAGCAAACCACACCAGAGCACCCGCTAACAGTAGCAACAACAGCAGCAGTTAAGTTTTAAGTAAGAGTATTACGGCACTTGCAACACAAACAGGTCATCATACAAGTGCCGAAGAACATTTATTGAGGTGTTACTAGAAAGTAGCATGCGAAGATAAGAAGGAGAGATAAGGACGATGATAGGCGTTTGATGGGAAAGAAGGGGCAAACCGCACCAGAGCACCCACTACCCACCCATCAACAGCAGTTATTGTTTTTGGGGGGAAAGCTAGGCCACAGGCAAAAGTCAGTGATTTTTTTGGTAAGAGTTTTATGGCACTTGCAACACAATAAGGTCATATAAGTGCCGAAGATTAGAGGTGTTACAAGAGAGTTTTTGTTTTGTTTTAGTAGAGGCTTTATGGCGCTCGGAACTGCATAAGGTCATATGAGCGCCAGAAGATTAGAGGTGTTACAAGAGAGTAACAAACATAAAAAAGAAGGAGGGGAGATAAAGATGATAGATGTTTGATAGGAGAGAAGGAACAAACCACACCAAGTCAGTGAGATGCTGGGGGCTCGGAAATGGGGGGAAATGCGTTGGGGGTGGGGGTGGGGGAGAGGGAAAAAAAGTGAGGTCTTGTTAAATTCACGTACAAAAAAAAATAAGCGGCTTAGAATAATCTAGCAACACTAACAACAGGTTTCAAATGATATTGACAATACGTAAGTGTAAGAAACATATCTAATATATAGGGTTATGTTGCATATGGTCGCTTTTAAGCACAATGGGGCTGTCCCGAAGAATGCTGTTCTGAGAAAGCCGAAGGTAAAGTTTTTGGACACACGATATCTTTCTTTAAAAGACAAGGAGAGTTTTCTCTATAACCAAACAAATATACACACAACAATGACACCATACTTCTCCTATAGAGGTAGGGCAATGCCCACTTTTGGTGTAGGTCAAGATTTCTGGCAATCCCCGAAATTTGGGTCAGCCCTCTTGTCCTTAAAAGTGACCATATTATATTAACTAACATCTGGCACCCATAAAATACGACACAGGACCAAACAAACAAACAAACACAACACAACACACATACAAACACACAGACACAAACAAATACACACACACACAACAACAACACCAACAAGAAAGAGTCAAGAAAGAATAATCCTCTGATTGGGCTTGGATGTTTATAAAACAAGTCTATGGGTAGCAGAAGAACTGTTGTTGTTTTTTTGGGAACCCCCCCCCCCCAAAAAAAAGAATAAAAAGCAATATTATAATAATAAAAACTTCAGAAAACTTAATTCACAACGTACAGATTTTTCTTACGTTCAAAATCAATGCAAGGGAAAAGAAATATCTGATGAAACATTTTATCCGAGGAAAGAGATGCATATTAAAATAACAACAGCCTTTTTGTGCAGGGACAGAGTACGGCAGACAGACAGACAGACAGACAGACAGACATTCAGACAGACAGACAGACAAAACAACAAAGGGAAAGAAAAGAAGTAGGACCCAGCAGTGGCGCCTTCCAACCACCCACCCTGGCATAAAGAAAAGAGGGGTTTTTTTCGTCCCCATTCAATGCAAGTTATATTTTGTAGGAGGAGAATGTAGTTAATTGTTATTTCCTTTGTCCACAGGGTTTCTTTTCTACACACTGCACCACATTTACACAACAAGGGTTTGTTAGAGTTTGTTTTAGTAGAGGTTTTACGGCGCTCGCAACTGCATAAGGTCATATGAGCCCCAGAAGATTAGAGGTGTTACAAGAGAGTAACAAACATAAAAAAGAAGGAGGAGAGATCAGGACGATAGAGGTTTTACAGGAAAGAAGAAGCAAACCACACCAGAGCACCCGCCAACCACCCACTTGTTAGGGTTTAGGGGAAAAAAACAAGAGAATGGGAAACTGAGATAACTACAGCAGTCAGAAAAAGAAGGAATTAAACAAAGATAGGTTACAAAATATTATATTTAAAAAAATAAAACATCCCAAAACAAAACAAAAACAAAGAACAAAACAAGACTAAAACAACAAACCAAACAAACGAACAAAGAATTCAAACCTTTACGTCCGGGTTCTTAATAACTCCTCTTATTATCTCATCTTCATTTTTTTATGTGACTGTGAAGGCAGAATTAACAACCTCCTTGCCTCCTCTCTTCCAGTTACTATACTATAACTAAGACCAACACAAACCACCACAACACGAAGGACTAGCAACACTACGGTTGTCTCAAACAGTCAAAAGTGGAGCAGACACAGAAGTGAAATGTTATATATATACAGAAGCAACAGCTCTAACAGAATAGTAAGTGTGAGTGAGTGTGTGCATGAGAGTGCGGTTTTTGGTTGTGTGCATGGGCGTGTGACTTTGCGTGTGTGTGTGGGG